ATCAGCTTCCTCCTGGTTTATTAATAGTACATTGAAAGTTGAACTCAGCAAGAAAGAAGCTTTTCAAAGGTGTTGGGCAAGAAAATATCGCAGAGCAATATGTTTTTACATTGACATGTCCTTTTAGAGGGTCACTTTTGACTTCCCTGTGGTATCCCTTAATGCTGACTTATATTTAATATTTTAATATGTTTTTCTAAAAAAGCCTGACCCTCAGGGGCTAGGAGTTTGTGCAACTTACTAAAAGATTAAAAACAAGCCATGCGTGGTGGTGCACACCTGCAATCCCTGTCACTTGGGAAGCTGAGGCAGGAGGAACACAAGTTCAAGACCCTGCCTCAAAATAAAAAGGGCTAGAGATGTAGCTCAGTGGTAGAGCACCCCTGGGATCAATCCCTGGTACCACAAAACACAGAGAGAAAGAAAGAGAAAAAGAGAAGAGAGAGATGAAGAGGGAAGAAAAGAAACAAAACAAAAATTAACATTGCAAATTGCTATCTCCTAGGTAACAGGAGTTGCAATGGTGCCCTCTTATTGAGGGTGTTCTCTCCATGTCCCTCATATCCCCACAGATGAATGCATATGACATGTGTTTAGAGGAAATTATTCTCGGCACTAAGCAGAGGCGAATGAATCTTTGTGTTCTTTATAAATGTTAAGAGCTCCCAAATATGATGGTCACTGATTCTCTTAACCAACAGTGACTTTTAAAATATTTAAATTATCTCTGGAGTTTTCTTTGTATTCTTTTTTAAAAATATTTTTAGTTGTAGATGGACACAATACCTTTATTTTGTTTATTTGGGCTTTTTTTTTTTTTAATATGGTGCTTGGGATCGAACCCAGGGCCTCATGCATGCTGCCACTGAGCCACAGCCCCAGCCCTGTTTTCTTTGTATTCTAACCACATCAGAAATATGTTAGGAAACAGAAGATTTTAAAATTATATTTAGATTTGAGATTCGTTTGTTTAAACATATGTACAAATCACCATTTTTTCTTTTTTTTTTTTTGAGATGATAGGAACTAGTATCTATTATATGCTCATAGAGTGCAAGGCAATGAACCTCGTGTTTTTTAAATATAATTTAATCATTATACTGACCAGATATTAACTTCACATTTTACTTGAAAGGAAACTGAGGTTCATAAAGTTTACAACTCATATTCATGCAACTAAGTTTAAGATTTTAAAAATCTTAGTCTTATTAATATGTAAGTATTAAAAGTGAATATATAAGTATATGTATATATAATCTTTGTCCTCAAAAAAATCTCATCATCTAAGGAAAAACAGAAAACCAAGAATCCCAGGACATTATGTTGATTGATACGTAAAATGTAGTTTAGAAGCTCACAACCCAAAATAAGAAAACAAGGATGCCCACTTAGTGAAGATGTGAAGATGAGTAGAAGTTCACCAGGTGAAGTAAGAAGGAGGTAGGAAGTTCCTTTTTCAGACTCAACCCCAGGTTCATTCTATGAAAATACCTGAATTAGTGTTGGAATTAAGAATTAAAATAAGATTAGGTGCAGATAAATAAACCAAAATGTGAGTCTTTTTAATAGGATAGACATTTGTTTTTCTGTTATAAAACAGAAAGTCAGTAAAGGATAATTCAGAAATATCAGGGCAGATCTGTGGTGTCACTGGAAACAAGATTCCTATCTTTCTGTTCCCACTGTCCAAGTTTACAACTTCAAGTCAAAGATGGTTCCTGGAAAGCCTGAAGCTCCAACCATCACATCCCCCTGTAGTTGTAAGGTAATCACTATTAGGAGGAGAAGGAAATAGGAGAAGTTCCAAAAAGTACAGCTCCTAACTAGGTCTGCACCCTCTTAGATGTCTTTTCATAAGTGCAAAGCAATAGATCCAGTCTCATCTTATTGATCAAAACAGACACGTGGCCATGCCTGGGTGCAGGAGTGGCTGAAAATGTCTTTTGCTCTGTGGTGCAAACAATTACAAAGCAGTATTCTGTTGTCCAGGAGGAAGGGAAGAGCAAGTGAATGGACTGGCAGCTTCTCCCATATTCCAAATCCCATTTCTACAAACTAGGATTGTCCTGGGTAAAAATAAGTAAATAAATAAATAATAAAAAATAATCAGTGAATGTGAGTAAGTAAAAGTTGAAGGAACAGAAACACTTCTCAAAGATCAAATGAAAATTACAACAAATAAAATTTAGGAAATGCTCATATTTTGTTTCTCTTTCAAACAATTAGAGCAACATTTAGTACGTGGAGTATATTTGGCTAAAAAAAATCTTAAAACAGGTATTATTAGTAAACAAGTGTCCCCCTTTATTATCCAATATGAGTAAATATCCATCTGAGTAAATTTGTTAATGTGAAATTAAACCATTGGTGATAACCTAAAAATAAAATTCTAACAGTTTAGATTGAGAGAGCTGCTTTGGTTAAAAAAAAGAAAGAAAGAAAGAAAGAAAGAAAGAAAGAAAAACAAAAAAAGCAACTTTCACATAAAATTGTTTTTCTTTTTCAAAGCTCTTTCAGGGTGTGTTACCTAATCACAAATTCTAAGCATTCCTTAAATCTTACATACGTACTTGATAACATCTAACTGAAAAATCCAGACCCACTAGAAAATTTCCCCAAAGGTATTTACACTTCCAAGATAGAGACCCAACTGCCAACTCATCCCATATGTTGAACTATGCCTGCATCATTAAATCTGAAGACATACGTGTGCTAAATGTGGAAATATTTAAGTTACTAATGAGGGCAGGCCTGCCTGCAAGTTGTCAAAAAACTTCTTTTCAATATTTGAAGCTCTGTGTGCAGTCTGGCTCCTGTTGTGAGGTCTGGTCATGACAACCTGGTTATTTACAGTTGGAGATGCTATCTCTCCTCAGCTCAGTCCTGCTTCCTGAAGTGAAACTTGTTACGTGATGTAAGGAACATCTGCCATAGACATGTTGGGACATGCTGGGACTCACTAAATCGCTGGCCATAAGGAACAGCAACCATAAGCATGCTTAGTGGTGTCTGGTTGCAGCTGATAAGGAGCTCTAAGGAGCACTAGCCATAGGCACACTTATCAATGGCTGGTTACAATTGATAGGGAGCACAGCTCCACGGACAGGCGCAAAGAACATGCCCTGTTGCAATTACATTATCTCACTGGACATAACCAATGGACATAGACTTTTACCGGGTGTAACCAATCACCAACATACACCACCAACTTGGAACAATATTTAAATCATTCATCCTGCCAAATCAACGAGGCTGATCTGAGGACATTAGCAAGTCTGGCCGTCTTGCTGTCTGTCCCCAGATCAACTCCACCATTTCCTGACATTCAACCATCAGCTGGAGAGAACCACCAGACAAGGACAACATCTGTTCTTTGGCTAAGAGAAGTCGTGTGGCATCGGAGGTATTTTGGGGCTTGTGGTTGCCCTAGGATTGTGTGATGTGCTTATAGTGTTTAATTTGTGTTCACTGAATGCTAGTTGGGGTGTTCCCACACACCCAACACTTTTTTCATTAATTGTTTATATTTGATGATTGGTGTGATCCAATATATGCTTGCATTTAAAGACAATACACTTCCGAGTAATTATTAATAGCACCAGTCAAAAAGGTGACCTCCAAGTTAAATTTCTGGAACATTTTTATTTTTGATCACAGATACTTATTGGTTTTCTATTGTTGGGTAAAAAATTTACCAGAAACATAACTGTTTAAAGCAATACCAATTTAAAAGCCCACTTTTTAATAGGTCACAGGTTACACATGACTGAATTCTATATTCAAGGTATCTCAAGATTTAAATTAAGGTATCAATTGGATTAAATTTGCATTGAAGGCTCTGAAAAAAATCTATTTCCATTTTTCTTTTTTTTTAACCAGGGATCGAACCCAGAGGCACTTAACCATTGAGCCACATCCCCAGTCGTTTTTATTTCTTATTTTGAGACAGGGCCTTGCTATGTTGCTGAGGCTGGCTTTGAAATTGCAATCCTCCTGCCTCAGCCTCCTGAGACACTGGAATTACAGGTCCCAATTCATTCTTGCTGTTTGAAGAATTCAGTTCATTGCAGTGGTAGGTCTGAGGTACCAATTTCCTTTCTGGCTTTCCACCAGGGGCCACTCTCAGTTCCTCCAGGCCATTCTCAATTCTGTGCCATAAGATTCCCTCCATCTTTAAACCTACAATGGTGGGTCAAATGTTTCTTGCACTTCTGATTTCTAACTTTCTTTCTTTGACCAGCTGGAGAAAACTACTTTTAAAGTGCTCATGTGATTAGGTCAGGCCACCGGCACTACCTCCCTACTTCAAGTTTAACTGGGAGAGGTAAGATAACCTTATCATGGAGTAAAATCCATCATGTTCACACTTCCAGAGATTAATTAGGACACGCACACCAGTGGAGTGGAAAATTTTGAGGGGTATTTTAGAATTCTGCTACCACAGTATACCTTCTGAATTGAGAGAGAAAGTGACAGGGCAGAGAATGGTCAATATCTGTTGGGATTATAACTCTACACTGACGGCAAATTTTTTAGGGTTTCTTTTCCCCTACTACTGAAGTGCCTATTTCCCATGTTAAGCAAATATCCATCCTTTACTCTTTCTGATTCCTCTGAATAAAAATGAAGTTTAAATGCCCTGCAAAGACTGAATGAGATTTGCCTGAAATATGTTGCCTTGGGACTAATAAAGGAGTCTAACTTCACAGGGACATTATCAGGTGCATTCAGAACACTGGAAATAAAGAAATGATCCTTGAAGTAGAGACTTCTATGCCCAGTGCACCAGGAGTTGTGGAGTTGTGGCTCAGTGGTACAGCACTTGCCTAGTATATGTGAGACACTGGGTTCAATTCTCAGCACCGCATATAAATAAATGAATAAAATAAAGGAAGGTCCATCAACATCTAAAAAGAAATTTTCAAAAGATTACCAAAAAAAAAGGAGACTGAGCTGTTTGCTACATATTTCCAAGCAGGACCCAAAGAGAAGTTACATACCTGATTATTGGATAAATGTCATCCCTTGTCATCCTCAGATGGCACCATAGGAGAAGCCTGCAAAATGGGCAAAAGAAATACTTCTGTTTTTATGTCCCCTAAATCAACCATCAGAGCTCTGAGATTAGGATTCCATCATGATGTCATTCCCTCCATGAGCCTTCATTTCTGATCCTTTGTTATTTTGATTCATTACCCATGTTTCCAAACATACACATCTATAAATTTCTAAACTGGATAAACATATTATGGGACCACTGATAAAAATCTATCACAGCTCAAGACAAAAATTAACTTTAGGCATGATAGTAAAAGAGAAATAAAATATTGATTCAGATGGAGGTGGATCACCTTTATAATAGAAGTTCTTGAAAGAGAAAACAGATACTATAGAGGAGAGAAAATTACCAAAGAACTAATACAAGAACATTTTCCATAATGAAAGGATGTAAGTTTCCAGATGAATGGTCTCACCAAGGGCTCAAAACAATGTTTGGGGAATAAAAAAGATGCACAGGGACATTATCAGGTGCATTCAGAACACTGGGAATAAAGAAATGATACTTGAAGTAGAGAAAGCAAGAGGGATAGATAGAAAGAGATCAGATTCAAAGGGTTTGAATAGAATCAGGAATCAGAATGGCACCTCTAAGTGTTTATCTGCAGTGCTAGCATCGTTAATTTATGGAAGATAATGCCCTCAAAGTTCTGAGGAAAAAATTATATCCAACCTAGACTTCTATTCCCAGTGCACCAGGATTAATATATAAGGATGATTTCTACACCATTTTTTGGTACAGCAAGACCCCAGACACAACCTAAATACCTACTCTTAGAGATGAAAAAAAAATGATACACTTTATAACCTTCTGACCATTTAAAACAATTAATTCAATAAATTTTATTGATAAATGGAATTAGTCTATGTGTACTGATCTGAAAAGAACTACAGTATACATTAGGTTTTTTTTTATGTACACACATATGTAAACAATATAGATAAAATAACCAGAAAGAAAATCTTCTGTGTGCTTATTGTGACTGCCTTTGGGGGATAGTACCTAGAAGTTTAGCTTTTACTTTTTATTCAGTACAGTTCTATAATAATCAGTATTTTCCTTAAGATGTACAAATTGTTTTTAAAAGATGTGCAGCATATACTTCATTTCTTTGTAGTGACAGCACCATCTAGTGGTCAGTGTTAACTTATCTTTTAAGATATTTTTATTTTAAAATGATGTGATATTTAATATTTTAATACTAAAAAAAAAAAAAAAGCCACCACAGCACAGGAAGAAAATATTTTAATGTGGCATTTAGAATAGTAAACCATCATAACTATTTAAGAAAGTTCATGTCTTAGAAGAATCTCCATAATATAGTAAATATAAAAATTAAAATGCAGAAAAATTTGTGTAACAATCTATCACTTTGCTAAAAAAATGCATAGTATTTTATATAAAATTGATTACATATGCATAAAGTATCTCTAGAAGGATACACACAAAAACTAGAGACATTGGTTGTATTTAGTAACTATAAGGCTAAAAATGAGAACCAGAATTTATGCTGTGTACCTTTCAAATTGTTAATTTCATTAATATAAAATGCAAATTAAAATAAAATTTATGGGGGCTGGGGTTGTGGCTCAGCAGTAGAGTGCTCGCCTAGCACGTTCGAGGTCCTGGATTCAATCCTCAGCACCAAATAAATAAATAAATAAATAAAGGTATTAAAAAAATATATACAGTTTATATGTAAGGAAAATTTTCTCCATGCTGCTTTCAGATTCTGAGGTTATAAATGCTTTCTTATTTTTTACATGTATTATTTATACCACATGTGAAAGTAGAATTTTCCTTGAAATAAAACTCAGAAGGACACAGAACCAAAATTATCTCTTTAGGGTTCAAGTTTAGAAGTTGTCTCAAACACCCTGAAAAAAAATATAAAGTTCTCTACTCAAAAATAATAATAATAATAATAATAATAATTGTTTTCACCCTATACCCTCACTCTAGTTTAAGAGGTCCAAGCATTCTGGGTTCCCAAATTGAAGTCCAAAGCATGTCACTCCAAAAGATTGCTCACTGTTAAAAGAAACAAGTACAAACCCCTAGAGTAGACACAATACATTATCAAGAACAACTGGTGTCAGACCAACTCTATTTCCTAGATTCAACTTGGAGTAATCAACAAAATAGCATAACTGGCTGCCAGCAAGTCCTTGATAGTGTCCTCAGGATGATGTGCAATTAAATAGAAAAGATTAAGTGGATGATAATGTCCATAGAAGGATAAATAGCCATTAAGTAACATAACCAGAGTGTTGATTAATAGATTTAAATCAGATTATAGATTTCTAGGGTTATCTTCAGCCCATGTTTTTCAAGAGGTCTACCAGTAACTTAGAGAAAACAATGTGCTTATCAAGTTTGTGAAAGACACAAAACTGGGGGAAGTAGCATACACATTAATGACAGAGTCAGATGGACCTGATATTGTGCAAAAATTAATAAAATGCACTAGGGGAAAAACAATGAAAGTACCTTCATTTATTTTCAAAGAAACTATTTTCAACAGTAGAGAATAGAAAAGGTCTGGTTTACCTTCCCCAGGTGCAAAGTAGACTTGGGAATACTAATTCATTGTATAAATTTATTTTATAACTAGATTACATAACATATAACATTAAAATTCTGTTTTACAATGTATTTCCTGTTTAAGGAAGGAACACTGTCCAGAATGAAGAGGCAATATTCCTGCCCTGTGGTGTGATGAAGGGAACCCCTGTGGACACTGTACATTCCTCTGTACACTGCACTTCCTGGATGCACACTTAGCAAACTAGCAAGTTTTTAAACAAAAGACGCGGAGTTTTAGGGGATCTGATTTTATCACATAAGCAAAAGCAAATAAAATAATTAGCATACTCAAATCTCAGAACAGCACAGCTGTCTTAAGATATTCCAATCGCTCTCAGGTAGAAGAAAGAATAAAGTGTTCTATGAACCTCAAAGTTTGAAAATACCTTTCGGGCAGAAATTTCAGGGCAATGAAATTTACTTTAATGTAAGTTGGGCTTTTCTAATAGTCAGAACTCCCCAAATATGGAATAGATTACCTCAAAAACTAGTATATTCCCTATACTTAAAAACTTAATCAAAAGGAGGCAACTTCTAGGTGGAAATATGCAGGGCACATCTTATGGCACTGGCTAGAACTTCCAGTATGATGTTAAAGTAGTTGAAGTGGATAGTGTTGCTCTGCAGAGATAACATTCAATCTTTCATCTTCAAGTATGGTGTTAACTCTAGGGTTCTAGCCCTTCGTCAGATTGAAGAAGACCCACTCTATTTCTAATTTGTTAGGGATTTTTTATCATTGGAGTACTGTTGAGAAGGCTGATGTAAGAATCCTACAGAACCATACAGTTCTGTGACCAACATGGACTGTGAGAGAGCTATTAGTTTCCCTATCTCAACTTCTCTTGCTTTTTCAGACATCCATGTGATACTTCTGGTACTGTGGGGAAGATGGCAGACTTTTATACCTTCCAGATTTTACAAACTGGAGAGCTTTACAAAATCCACATAATTATATCTCAGGGTGTTATGTGCATTTTTTAAAATTTTGATTGTAAACCTTTTTTTTTTTAACTTAAGACCAAAGGTTTAGGTTTAGTTTGTAAAATCTGGATAATATAAAGACTTTAAAGAATGACAAAAGTTAGACATCAGTGCTCCAACAAATGTTCAGGTTTTCAAAATCAAATTCATCCTCAGCCCTCACCCTTTTCATCCTTGTTAATTCTCCTCCTCCTTTTTTCTTTTCCCAGCTGAACTTGAAATGGAAACTAAACTGTCTAAAAGGTAGCACTGGATCCTTTTTGAAGTATATTTTCTACTGATTAAGTTCTTAGTAAAAAATCAAATTCTCAGGGGCTGTGGGTATATATGCTTAGCATGCGGGAGGCCCTGGGTTCGATCCCCAGAAACAAAACAAAAAACAAAAAAAGACAATGTTAAACTTCAATTTTCTCTGAACTGTGGAAAGATAGGGTCTTCCAAAAAAGTGTGCCCCAGAGAGGGAAGGTTAATGTCACATTAATCCCTAATATGCCTAGAGACCATAAGGTATGGTATCAGGATTCGAGCTTCATATGAACACATCTGATTCTCTCCCATAACAGTTTTGAACTGATTGAAATCACACATGGAGAAAATAAGCTTCCCAGTGTGGTGATATCCCATCTTAGCCGCCCATCCTCTAGGCTTCACCATCCCCCACGTCTTCAATATCCAAGCTGCGGATTTTGCACACAAACTTGGTGCTATTTGACAACATGATCCTAACTCGACTTTTCTGACACCTACCATTTCAACTTTGTCCATGATTTCCTACTCATATGCTGGCTAGGCCACCCACATCATTTCTCTTAAAACCTATAAGCAGTACACACCAACTCAAATGCAACTCTCCAGAGCAAGCAACATCACAACTGAAATGAGGTACCACTCTCCTTCAGTTTGGGATTAAATCACACGTAGGAGTACAGCAGCAGTTGCTAAGCTTTTTACCAAATATGAACATCAGTATGGGCAGGAAAGGAAAAAGCCCAGTATGAACATATGAGCCCAATATGAGCAGGATAAGTGCTAAAACAGAAAAATGAACAAAAGGATATAAATGCCTGAAATATACAGACATCAGATGGGAGAGGAAATTTTTAAATGGAGAATCTATTAAATAAAATTATAACCAAGCATAGTGGCATACACCTGTCATCCCAGCTACTTAGGAGACTGGAGGCAGCAGGATCTTAAGTCTGAGGCCAGCCTCAGCAACTTTGTAAGACCCTGTGTCAAAATTAAAAAATAAATAAATAAAAAGGATGGGAGGTGTAATTCAATGGTAAAGCTCCTCTGGGTTCAGCCCCCCAGTACTTAAAAAAAAGAATATATAAAATGTGACTCATATGCACATAAATTATACATATACACACCTACCTATGGTAAGAAGCCTAGATGAACACCCTTCAAATATATTAATGGATG